ACTAATAAAAGTATATATTTTTTTATTGTACCCATGATTATTTGCAAGATTACTAAATTACAAAACAAAATAAAAGTTATCTGATCCGGGCCATTATTAGCTGATATACTGGTTATTGTAATTCGTAAACATTTTGGTTTGTTTCAAACCAAAATACTTACGAATTGAGGTTTTTTATTTCCCTTGGTCGATTACAATGACCGAAAATGATTTCTCTATCTTACGATATTTTGAATTATTTAATTTACTTATTGTCGTTTCTTCACTAACCAATAAATATTCTTTGCAAATTATTCGCACGGGTCAACTAGTTGAGATTTATTTTTAAAAATCAAATTTGTTATTAAAAAAAAAATAAGTTTCGAAACGAACACTGCTCATAAAGTAGATAAGTGTGGAATTAAATCCTTTATGATATTATTCTATAAAGAGTTGCCTATCACACTAAGGTCGATGGTGCATGAACATCACTCTTCCCCCTCCTAAGATATTTTATTGCTCTCCTCTTCTTAAAAACAGTGCACGCGAAAATTGAATTTAAAAAGTCGAAGATCATATAGAATTACACTATTAGCGGTAGGTTTCATGTTTTCTCCTAGTCCTCTGGTTCGAAACTTTTTATCCCTAAATGTGCACCCCTTAATAATTCAAAATGTGCCCCCATTCAAAAATTTTCATGAACCTCCTTCTGGAAATACCTGATTCTATAGGTTTGATAAAAAACAATTATCAGCGAAATTTCATTAAATTCGTGCACTTAAAAAAATTATAAACATGCTAACACTGCTCTCTGGGAATTTTTACGGCAATTACAACATTTAAAAAAACGATATTTAGATCAAGGTTTGAACTTATTCACACAGTTAAAAATATCATTTTTTTTTTTTTTATTAAATTAAAATACAATGGAACAAATGGACGTGTACGTCATTAACAACACAATGTTATAAATACGTATTGAGGAAAACTATTAAAATTATTTTTATTATTAAGTTTCAAATATGCTCCATCCTTACCGATAAGTAATAACGCTAAGTTGTAATATTGCAAATAAATAAGATAAAAATTTAAAAAAAAATTGATTTAATCCACTCCAAAAATTCTGAAGTTTTAATTATATAGTCTCTGCAACTAGCGAAGTATTTTATCTCGTTTTAATCATATATATATATATATATATATTATGTATAATGATCCTCTTCAGTTCTGGAAAAATTAGCTTGATGTCCTTGGCGTCGAGGCTCAATTTAAAGTAAATAAAATGAATTTGGGATTATTGTTAAATTGTACGTAAACTTTTGGTTTCGTACCAATGATGGGTATTGTTTATCCAGAACTGGAGAGGATCCCATTATTTATGTTAAAAAACAGGGATCGAAAATTTTTGAAAAAAAAAAATAATAAACAAAAGCTGTTTATTGAAGCGTAGTTCATGACCTATTATCCGACTATAATTTCTATGTTAAGATCCGTATATATATATATATATATATATATATATATATTAACGTATATTAACGTGTATATATATATATATATATATATATATATATAAAATACTTATATAATTGGAAATTGAAATCCACCTTGACACCAATATGATTATCTCTTCACCTTGCATTCAAATGATGCGGTGAATGTACAAGGCTTTTCAGTTCGTAAGTGTAACATGTCAGTGTTAAGTGCAGAAGTGTTTACTTAAATTTTCATTTATCAAGAGTATTTTGATTTTTTTTTTTCTTCATTTGTATTTTTAATATTGTAATATTAATATTTTTCCTGTATTTTTTAGTTCTGGAACTTAAATCAATTATAGACAGAAGCAAAATAAAAATTTAAAAAAATAAATGACGAGTGGAAACAAAATACTAGAGTTTATGTACTTTAAACTTATTTATTTTAACGCTTCATGTTTACCTAATAAATATAAAAAACTGTTTATAAAACTTCTCATTTTAGTATGTTTTAAATAAAAGCCAAACACTTTAAATATGTTTGAAAGATAGATTATGCGTGATTTTTGTCCATAATAACGGAAACTACGAAGGACTTAAGTACTGTTGCAAATTTAGTGAAACAATTTATAATGCCTAATTTTTTTAAGGGTGAGTTTTTCGTTTATTTATGAAATATAATATAAATTAAAATATAATTAAAAATATATATTTTTGAAAGATTTTTTCAAAATAAGCCTTGAATTACACTAATAAATGTATATGACCAGGTAGCTATTTAAAGTTTTCTCTATTCAAGCATTGTCTTTAAATTCAACATTAAAAAACGCTGGCGCGATACATCACATAATTTTCAATTAAATAAATTAAATTAAAATTAAATTAAAATTAAATATATATATATATATATATATATATATATATATATATATATATATATATATATATATATATATATATATATATATATTAAGCACGGGCGGGTCAACTGGAGGGGAGGGCATTTTGGAGCTGAAGCCTCCTCCCTTCCCCCCCCTAAAATGTTTTTTTTAAAAATCTCTAAAAGTATTATTCTTCGTGTAATTTCATTTAAAAGGAATTTAGGAATCACTTAAACACCATTTCATATAGGTAGTTAGTTTCTTTCTTTATTTCCAAAGTAATTTTCGCTATTTTTATGAAAAAAAACTTTCGGGCTGAAGCTCCCTCCCCCAAATTTAAATTCTGGATCCGCTAGTGATATTAAGTTAATAGTCCTGAAGTATATTACTTTAATTATAAATACAAACTTACAACAATTCTCTGCAATATATATTTTTGAGTTACCAAGCTGGAAAAAATTATTAGTTTTCTACATATTCTCTAAAAAAATTCCATTAAGTTTCTATGGAGATGTTTATTTCCGATTCAGTAATATAAAATTATTAACTATAACAAATAAAATCCATCAGTTTTTCTTAACTCTCCGTTAACTTCTATGACCTTATATGTTAGATATTCATTTTTTTAATGACTTTTACAGTTTCAGTGGTATATGATGCATTGATATCACCACTCTTGTTTCGGGAAGTTTGGTTTCAACCTGCAGAATTGCATTTCCTATTTATTAATTTCCAAATACTTTTTTATATCATACTTATTCATTTTGTATTCTTCCAACAATGAAAGCCATTTAAGTGTTTCTCATAAACAAAATTAACGATACTTAAGAGGATGAAGTTTTGGCAATTTGAGTTGTGTCATGATATTTCTATGAGGTTAATTCCTAAATGATATTAAAGACCACTTTATTTGACATAGGCATTATGAGTTAAATCAAAATCATTAGAGCCTTTTCAAGAAAATTGTAAAAATATGTAAAATCGATAACATAAAGTACCATTTCTGATTTTCTATTTTGATGATGAAGTTACAATGTTATGTAATTTAAGTTTCGCACGAATTTTTGTTTTTGAGCTATACTGTTCACATACCCACAAACCTTTTTTGTTATATTAGTTTATTTGGAATCAGGAGACCTCAAAACGTGTATTTATTTCGAAAACGGATTTTTTAATGATAATTTCAGTGAGCACAGTCACACTCTATATACAATAAATATAAATAAATTAAACAGAAAAATAATATTATTAAAACTAAATGTGTATAAAAAAAAAACAACTAAACTAATCGAAATACCAACTTAAATACAAGAATACCTCCACACAATATTTAGAACATTCATTCAGGGAACTCCAAGGCAAGCCTTTCTTCACACTCGTGGAATGAAAGGCAGGACTCTAGGAGATCCCAGCACCTGGCACTCAGCCGCATTACTGGTATTAAGGATCAGTGGTGGCTGAGCGGAGGTGCTATAACCAGACATACTTGGCTTGAGTGGAGAATCTGGCCATTGCCAGAACTCCAATATATATTTATTTACAAAAGGTTTCTGGGCCACTGCCGCTTCAACCTTCCAGGAGAATTATAGGAATGAGTGGAACTAGATAAGGATTGTGCAATTGGATTTGGATGGTATGAAAGGTTTTGATGGAATTTGGAAAAATTTTCTGGGATAATGTCTAGGACAAATGGGATATTAAAGTCAAGGTGTAGGGCTTTGTTGGTTACATAGAACGGAGCATCAACTATTGTTCGAAGGATTTTGGACTGAAAGAGTTTGGTGTTAGAAAATTTTGCTGTCCCCCACAGTTCCAGTTCGGTAGGTCCAAATATTTTTCAGTAGTGTCATGTAGATCAGTAATTTGTTGTCAATGGAAAGTTGAGATTCTCTGTTCAATAGACCATATAGCTGGCTATATCGTCGATTGAGTTCTTGTCTTTTATGTCTAGTATGCAGGTTCCATGTTAGTCTTCAGTCTAAGAGAAAGCCAAGATACCAGACTTTGTCTGAGTAAGGAAGCTGGATTGATATTAAGTGTACCAGTGGACAGAAATTGCGTCCGAGCATAAAGATTATATGTTTCCATCATGATCGCAATACTTTCCCTTATTACATAGGTAAGTGGAAGAATAAAAATCCCCACCAATCTGAGAGAGTATTTATGTGTTAGATTATCCAAGAATGATTTACTAAGTACCTCTATTTGGTGAGTTATTTTTGGACTATTGATGTGATTTTTGCCACTGCTGGTATATATCTATCTTACAATTGAATTAATAATTTATTAATTTGAGTGGAAGAGTTTGATACTGCCTGTCTGTCAATAATTTATAGTCTAACAATTGCTTCCTGCAGTGCCCGATACTATGCCCTGATGGAGACCTTCAAAGTGGGTCAAAATGTCGGCATAATAATTAAAATATTATTTTGACAATTTAGTATTTATTTGAGCGCACCCCCCAACCAACTCCTCATATTATATCAAGGTCAACCATCTCTACACCATTAACTCATAAAGTTAATTTATAAATAAAAAGGATTATTAAGAAGTATGTGTTTAGTCTGTTAATTATTTGTTGTGGTAATAAATATATTTATACAAAAATAATTATGTTTAATGTTCAATTGTTTAAAAGGCTAACTGTAATTTTGAATTGTTTCAGTCATGTCAGAGAACTTCAAGTCTCGAGATGTTGGGCTCAGAGCTCAGAAGAAAATCTTGAGCAGAATGGCGAATAAAAGTGTGGCAAAAATGTTCATCGACGATACCACAGCGAGCTTGTTAGACAACCTTTACAAATTGGCGAAAACATATGTAAGACTATACTTTTATTTTAAATTAATTTAACCTGTTTAAAGAAAAATTTCCATTCATTCGTGCATTTAAAAAAAAAACTGTTATTATAGTTTTATCAGTTATAAACTACTTTATCAGAATTAAATTCGGAAATAAATTGTACAAAGTATTATGGTTTCTTAAAATAAATTTAAATTATTGTTAATGAAAATCTCTATTTAATATTTTTAGTAATGGCAAAAAGGTAACATTTTGAGAGTTCGTTTTAGATATAAGAATCATGCCTTATGTTTACTATAGAGCATTCCAATGACTTTTGAATTTTTCTGTAATTTTAATAACTTTTTCATTATTTCAATAATACATCTTGGATAAATATATAGCCAGTAAATTTGAATTGAATACAAATTTTAAGATATACTGAATTTATTATTTTATAATATTTGTTTACTTTTTTAATCAGTTATTTTTTTTTTTAAATAATAATTTTATCAATTCAAATCAAATCAAATCAAAAATTATTTTATTTACACATATATACAATACAATAATTCATAATAATATTTACATGCTTATGACAACTTTACCTTACACATGTTACAATAAAGTTTTGTATGCAGAGATTTATTTTGTACAGTAAGAAAAATCCAAATAAAAACCTACATAAATTATAAAAATTTATAAATAACATAAAAAAAATGTATACTGTCTTTAAAATGTATAAACAAGATAAAACTTAGCACATATTACATATCTTATAAATTATTATTCAATTGGTGTGGGAAATTTTACTAATTACATTTTATCGAATTACTCACTAAACTGACATGAAATAATATATTGAAATTTGATAACCTGCTTTGAATTATAAATTGATTAATTTTATTTCAAAAGGACTAGTAAAGATTACTACCGCATGTAAAATAAAGTAAAATTTCCACAATTATAAGAAAGATAAATTAATCCAAATTGTGTAAGTAATTTGGATTAGTTTTTGGACATTTATAGTTCTGAAGATGCGATGAACTTAAATGAAAATAATTTTAGATACCTTCAAAAATCATAAATCTATTATAATGCAAATCATAAATCTAATTTTAATAACAAATCAAGAGTTAGAGCTAATATTGTTAATAATTTTTTCTATAATTGATGTAAAGACAAATAATTAATTTCATTAATTTGAAGAGATAAAATTTATTCTATCCTATTTATTTAAAATTTATTATTGGTTCCCTAATTAATAAAAATTCAGTTTTCAAAATAAGGCTGATTTAATACTTTATTTTTTTGAATATTTAATAGTTGACCGTTGCATTATAAAGGAAGGAGATGGTCCAGGGTTGCGGTCATAAATAGGCTAAATAGTGGTAAAACTGTTTTATTGAAAGCCGACTTTTCGATCCGACTTTGCAGGTCTTCTTCAGAGCTAAAACAGACGAGATACAAAAAGATAGAGAATTATGTAACTGCCATAATTCTCTATCCTTTTGTATCTTGTCCATTCTAAAGTACCTTTTTTTTTTTTTTATTTGAAATAATTAACCATTTCACATTAATCATTGATATGAAAAATTGTTAAATATAAAGTATGAAATAATTTAATAATTAACTAAAGGAGAAATAAGAGATCGTAATAGAGAAATCAAAGGAATAAGAGCTTGCCCGAAAGATTACAACAGGCTTCCATAAGTAACATGAGCTTCATATAACACGGACTCCAACAATATTATGTTCATACATATACATATACGGTTTTCATAAATGTATCATTGGTATTATTATTATTATTGTTGGTATTAGTAGAATACAGCGATATAAAAATAAAATTTGTAAATATAAGGGTATTTAAACAAATAAAAATATTCACAATGAATTGTAAATAAATATAGCATTAATAATTTTTACTTTTACTTCCCCTTTGTCTGAAAATACTTAATTCTGCTAAGAAGACGGTGGTAAGTGAAAGTCGTGTGATGCGTTCACCAGATTTTTTATTTATCATTTTTCTAATTTTATTCTTATTACTATTATTCTTCACTCTTTTGTATTTATAATTTTTCTGATATTATTTTTTATTTATTAGTTGACGATGATCTATACGTTCGGGTCGAAAGTTTGGATAACTCATTTAAAAAATTTTGGCTACAAATCCTGAAAAAATTTTTATCCTTATAATTTTAAGTCAACTACTTACACATCTCTAAATTATTATTTTTAATATTTTACAATGAAATATTAATTCATTATTATTATATTTTTTTTTAGACCGATAACAAGAAGGAGTCCGAAAAGCTAATCAAGAACATCATAAAGATAGTTATCAAAATCGGTGTGCTCTACAGAAATGGCCAGTTCAGCCAGGAGGAGCTGCGGTTTGCCGACAAATTCAAAAATAAGTTCCATGCAGCAGCGATGGCCGTCATGAGCTTCAACGAAGTAGACTTCTCTTACGACCGCCACTACCTCAAGACAGCTCTTCAAGAGTCGCACCAGGCCATAAGGCAGCTTGTGGAGAGGCACCTCACTGAGAAATCTCTTGTTAGAATCGATTCAGTGTTTAATTTCTTCTCTGATCCTGAATTCCTAGACGCCGTCTTCAAGCCCAATTCGGAATACAAGGATATTTTAGACAGGCTTGTTTCTGATATGAACAAAGCTATGGACGAAGGAGAGATGTAGAAAAAAAAATTGTTTTAAATTTGACCAAACATTTTTGCACAAGCAGTCATTCAACATTTTCATACCAAAGAAAGGAAAATACTGCTTCTTATACAGTATGGATGAGTCATTTTTATGCTTATTGTTGTTAGAATATTGTTGTTAGATTGAAGAGTGATATAACTTAATATATTATATGTTTACGTACCATGTAATCGCTAGTTGTGTGTCTGTGGTGTTGAATATTGTTCAATGTTTTTTAATGTTAACACCCATGTTATATTATATATTATGTTGCGGTATATATATATATATTTTTTTTTTCCAATTTGATCTGTATTGGAAAATAGAATAGTTTCAATTTATATCACATTGAATTTAAATTTTGCTGTTTTACACGGTACTATTTATTAATACTACATTAATTGGAATAATTAACACTTTAGAAAATAATTTCTTTGTTAGCAATAATTTTTATAATATATCCAGAGACAAGTAATATTTTGAGGCAGTCTTTGGTTTTCATTTCTGTGTTTAAGGGGTGAATAATTTTTTTTTTTTTTTGTTGGCCGGTTATACAAGTTTTAATAAATGTTTTTTATTACAGTCTTAAATTTGTCTCATATAACTAGACTCTATTATTTTTTGGGAATGGTAACAGTCTTAACCATAAATGTACAGAATATATTGCCTATAACTTTTTGCTTAAATCTTCTGAACAAGAATAATTTTTTATTATTCTTGATTACAAAACACACAATTATTAGTTAATTTATTAATGTTAAACTTGAAACATTTATTTAAAAAAAACAGAAAATATACAAAGTGTCTTTTTGATAAATCACACTGCATAGGAAGGATTTTTCAAATATAATTTCTTGAAGGTATATAAAAAAATTATATCTTCCTTCTAGGATAAATTTTTTATTACTCATATTTTCAACCTGCTTACATATTCAGCGTTCTAGAACTCTGTCCCATCTTATCACTATATAAATATATTAACATATAATAATCTATCTTAAACTTCTTGTATAATTCACAATTTTAAATTTGATATTACTATTATCTTTTTCTTTAATGTTTTCACAAACCTTCAAGAAACTATTGAAAGTGTCATTTTTAATAAATTATAAAAAAAAAATTAGTTTCTCAATTTCAATTAAACTACTTAATTTGCTGAACTTTTATCATTTTATGAAATCAAACCTGTTTCGGTTTCAGTGAAACAGTAGAAAAATTAAAACTTTACCAACAATTAGTCATACAATTAATGTATAATTATTTAAAAAATGTATATATATATTTTTTTTAATTGTTTCCATTCCCACAATCTTTTTTTAGAGAATATTTTTTTTTTTTCCAAAATTTGATTCAACCACCCCTATTTTACATTTTAAAGACATAACATATCGAATTGACAATATACCCTTAATTGAAAGTTATGTATAATTATCTTGTACTTTCTTAATCCATCTGCTTTTTGAAGCAATTTATAAATATTTTTTTTTTAGATTCGAACATATTTCGAGTCAATTGAATGGCCTCATATTTGCTCGGTGATTCTAAAGGTAGTAATCATGCAATGGAGGTTCCCCTAATTTGTAATTTTAACAAAATATTACAAATATAACTTATTCTATCCATAAACAACTAAGTAATAACATTTATTATTACAAAATATGAGCTAATGTAGTTACTAACCAAATTATTAAAGCCAAAAACTGCCTATAATAATAAGGTTTTGTATTCTTTTACATATTAATAATATTTATACTTATCCATCCAGTACATTATGGAGGGCTCTGTTAAAAAAAAATCTGGGAAGTAAAAAATTGCTTTTTTCCAGTCCGATATCATTAAAAAAATTGGGGAGCAATCACCTATTTTCATCAAATTTTATGAGGAAAATTTATTTTATTGATATTTAAACAAACTTGTTTTATTTGTAAATATTAAATTTTAAATTATTTATTTTTATTATTATTATTATTATTATTGGTTACTTCATATCAGTAAGATACCATATTCTTATGTTGAACATCTCTACCATGGTTCATGTGAGTTTGTGAACCAATATTTAGTAATTAGACAAGACCAAACTTGTAGCTCATTATTTTAGTCAAAATGTATTTATTTATAATTATTTGTTGTATTTAATAATTATCGTCAATGTTATCGACCGGAATTGAGGATGAAGGGTACGGTATTTTAAAAAAAGTACTTAGTATACATAGTTATTAAAAAATATTTTACAAAATTTAATATTTGTTAGATTTGTGTTTATTAAATATATATATAAGGGCAATTTTATAAGACAAGTGCCTTGCAATAACTTTAACACATGTCAGTCATATCAAAAATAATATTATCATCGCTGTCACAATTTGTCTTTTTAAAACTTGGAAATAAAAATTGTTGTATTAATTGTATGTAATTTATGATTTATCAATGTTCCCTATCTATTTATGTTTTAAATTTATTAAAGTATTAGGATGGACAGCGTTGCTTGGAGGAATCCTTTACACCAGAGTCTACGATTTATGGCCTATGAAAGATTCTTTGATTCCGTGATGAAATTTTAAAATATGGAATTTAGTAAATTACTCACATGCAAAGTTACTACAAGATCTATTGTATGGAGTTGTTGTTGTTTGTTTCGATGTCTAGGGGCAAAACATCCAGGTCATCAGCGCCCGATCAACTAAATAACACTAATTTTATACTGTTTGGATGGTTGGTCCAAAAAATAAGAATAAAAAAAAGGATACAAATAATTAAATAAAAGGATTGATAGAATGAAATGAATAAAAATAACATAATTAAATAAATAATTCAATAAATGAATAAATAAATAAATAACTATAACTAATAACTAAATAAATAAATAAATATATATATATATATATATATATAATATATATATATATATATATATATATATATATATATATATATATATATATATATATATATATATATATATATAATGTGGGACTTAGTAAATACACTTTAAATGAATTGACTCACCTGGTTTGTTATTCTTCAGTTGTGAGGCATATAGGACAACTAAATAAAATGACTTTTCACTCTTGTATAATAAAACAATTTATTTTACAACTGCAATAAACGAATGTATAAAAGTCTTATAACTGTAGGCTTGATATTCTTAGTCTTCAATGTAGTAAGCGTTTCTTCCCAGATGACGTCTTCTCGTCTTCGTGTCCAGGCCTCAAGTGCTCTTCTCGACTTCCTTCTGCCAGCTGTTGCTGCTCTGACCTTTTTCCAGTGTCCTTCTTCATCAATTGTTTTCGATATGAGACTTTTCCATGAATAATTTGTCCACTGCATAATTGAGTACAATTCACAGTGCAACCTCACATTCCTATATATTATATATTCCTTCTCATTCCATCACTCAATGTCATATAAAGGAGTAAATACAGGGGGATGTCTACTACAACAAATTACAAACAGCTGCAAATTATTATACAATGGTTTATTATTTCCAAACAATTACACATATAAAGTAACACATTATCTTAGTAACATTTATATTTTTAACGAGGGGAGGACCCTCAACTCCAAACATCTTATCAAGACCTTAAGTGGGCAGGAAGAGATAACCAACAAAAATCATTCAACACACCTTCAAATACCACAGGTAGAAAAAGGTCAAGGTAATTCAGAGTATCGTCCCGCTAGTGCACTGGTCCGATATAACACTGATATCATGATTTGTTTTGTTTCAGAGGGATCGGAAAAAAATAAATAAATAAAAAAAAATAAAAACATTTATATGGTAATATAAATAAAATATGATTCCTATTATTGCCATAAACATTTTTTTTTTATCAATAGTAATTAGCTAATGAAAATAGCATTGCTTCAGTAACACTTTCAAAAATCAAAAACCAAAACAAAGGATATTGTATATACAAATGATATAATATATAATATACATATATACAAAGGATACCTTTTCAATATTTTGGAAAATTCATAAACTTTTAAATTACAATATACAATATCAACAAAAAGGTGTATACTTTTCAAGTTCTACATATCCTGAAACGTAAAACTTCAAATTTTGAGAGGGTTTAAGTTTTTGAATTTTGTGGGCGATGACTATGGTTTATTATTGAAAATAATAAAACAAAAATTAGATAAATCTAGTTTTATAAACTTGAATAATCATTTAATTATGAATGTATGGAAGTATTGTATAACTTAAGATATAGCAACAGTCTTTAATTTATTTTCAATGTATTAACAGTTACAAAAATATTAAATTATTATCTTTTTTTTTAATCTATGCAAAAAAAAAAAAAAACATGGACCACTATACCTCATAGAGGCTTTTTTGGGTTCTGTACTTTGTTAGGAAGTATTATTTGAAGGCTAATAATTGTGCAGGGAGGTGATCAAGCCAGGATCATGCTCCACCTCCAGGTTTTCTCCCTTAATTATTTAATCATGATTATCTACTTTATAGAGGCCGAATGTGCCCAAGGAGGGTCTCCCGACCCCAGGGTCGATCCATGTCTGATGAAAAATTACTTGACATCAGCCAGACTCGAACCCAGCACCTTGGGCTTAGCAGCCCAGTGCCTTACTCACTGATCTTCTCTGTTCTTCTTTAATCTAAAAAACCTTTAACCTGTACCACTACAACCCATGAAGGGTCTTGGGTTCAGTACTAATTAGGAAAAGCAATGTTTCTTGGTCTACTGTTGTGCAAGAAGGTGATTTGTCCGAGATCACGCCCAACCGTCAGGTTTTTTTCCTTAATTAATTATTTTATGGAGGTCTACCCACCCAGAGTCGCCCAAGGGCCAATGAAAGAATAAATAATTTTTCTGCCATGAGTCGGGATTCGAACCTGGGAGCTTTAGCATTGGAAGGTCAGTACCCTACAACTGAGCTACTCACTCCCTTTCTTTAATCTAAACTAATTTATAAAAATTAAGAGATTATTTATATGAACATAATAGTTTCAAGTTTGTTTTGAAGAATTAATTTTTGTAAGACTGTTTATTGAGATACAGCTATCTTCCTGTTACTCATAGTACTGATGCAATAACCTTAATTGCCAATCAATTTGGGAAAACAAGTAATTATACTAGCAAAACTTTTTGTTAAAGTATCATTGCCTTATAAATGAAGCGTAGAGACAAACTTTTAAGTATGTTGGAGTTGACCCAAGAGAAGACTCCCATGGATGATTTTGAGTTCTATTTCATCAATTTTCACATTTCTGTTTACTTTCGCAATTGCTCCCATTTTGCAAGTACAATGCATCTGTTTTCGTAATTACATATAGATAGATAGATAGAAAGTAATCTTTATTCTGGGATGAGGTCCCTTATGAATAACAGTTATGAACAAAAAAATAAAAACCACATCTGGCCATAAATTACAATAATCAATATTAAAGAAAATATACAGTATCTCAGTAAAAGTATATTAAAAGAAGTAATAATAACACCATTTTGAAAAAAAAACAGAAAAAAAACATTATTTAAATGGAAAAACAAAACAAAATAATATAAGCATGGGCTGATTTTTAAAATTAAAACTCAATCAATTTTAATAATGATTCACCTCAGTCAAAATCTGTTTCGCAATATTTCTTTTATTGTATAATGTCATTTTGGGATGTATGAAGGAATTGGTAGAGATGATATTTAAATGAGGACAAGGAAGAGGCATGGCGGATTTCAGATGGCAAGGAATTCCAGAAGGCTGTGGATCGGGAAATAAAGGAATATTCAAATGTCTTAGTTCTATGGGAAGGGATATAAAGGTCGGAAACACGGGATCTTGTTTTCTGGGAGTGGATAACGGGTTTGAACTGTAGGAGACTGTAGATGTAGGAAGGGTGTCGGGTGTTGATCGTTTGGAAAAGGAAAGATCGAAGGAAATATTGTCTGCGTAAAGAAGGGAAGAGCCACTTTAACTCATCGTAAAGGTGGGATACATGA